ATTGGTATTTTGGTTGTTGTCTTTTTTTTTTTTTTTTTTTTGCACCAGGGGGTTTTACCCTTATTCGTTTTTGTTTTTGCTGATGTTTTCCAGGAGGCGGTGTATTATTTTGTTTCTCCTGGGTTTTATTTATTTTATTTATTTATTTATTTATGTAATTTTTTTTTTTTTTTTTTTTTTTTTTTTTTTTTTTTTTTTTTGTTAGTGTGTTGTTTGTTTGCTTGTCTTAGTTTGTTTGTTTGTTTAGAAACGGACAGAGAACTGACAGTATGATTATTGCAGTTGTATATTTATTTATTAATGTTTCTGTCCATCCAAAAATATTAAAAAAAAAAAAAAAAAAAAATATTAACTGCTGTACAAACCACATTTGGTCATATGCATTACCATTTTTTTTTCCCATCAGAAAGACCACCACCATACTCAAGTGATTTACTTGACTCTTATTTTGACCAATTAAAAGTCATTGCTAGCCAGTTACAACAATCCATCCAGTCTGAAGGACCCTTTGAGAGCTGGTTCCTGCACACTTATGCAGAGACCGAAATTACATGGAGAAACACTGAAGAAGCAGCCTGGCAGAGACTGGGTGCTGAAGCTGGCCGGTGATGAGATGCAGGTGGTCAGGCTGAAGGGCGGAAACACTAGCCCTCCACCCAAGAGCGGAGAAACCTCTGCTCAGTTCATCCTAGACCCAGAGTGTTACGGAGTCCGAAACACCATGAAACCAGTGCTGGACTATGACATGGACCTGCATTTGCCGTTGGAGCTGCAGCTGATGGAGCACTGCATAAAAATATGAAACTTTGACAGTTTTAAGGCCGGTTTCAGTTTTGATCCTGGTTTAGCAGTAAAAGATTCTGATATTTGAAATTCGTCAGACAGCAGCCTCAGAGGTCATGTGTCATCAGATCAAAAAAATTGATCCTTAGGGAACACCTCAGGGATCTATTTCGGTCCAGCTCTCCACCCATGCCAGCAGTCGGTATCAGTATAATGAGCGGTTTCTGTGCAAGTGGAAATCTGAGTGAAACTTTGCACCTCACTGTGATGTCGCCAACATTATTGAATCTTTAATATCACTAATTCACATTTGATTGGTGATTATATAACTTATTAAGACTGCCATTTTCTAAAACTGCTCCTGTAGGTTTTAGCAAAGGTTACTCACACAAATACCAGCATCAATGTTAGGGACTATTTGCAGCAGTGGATTAATACGCATACCAGAATATGGTGGCTTGATTTAAACAGACTCCAGTGGCTGGGCTTCTGTGTCAGGATTTAGCTGCTGCTAAAACAACCTTTTTCTACATTTAGTTTGCTACATCGCTAAAGTGTTGTACAATCCTACAATTTTCTTAGTAACTGAGGAAAGAAATTGCACTGACATGCTAAGATCCCTTAAGATGTCAGGCTGCATACTTCTTCTGGGAATTCATCAAATCCCATCCCAGAAAGGCATATCCATTACAAATAGAGATAAAGGATGTGAAAGGGGCAGAAACCAGACGAGAGCTATCCAGGCTGTTAACATGCTGTCTGTCACATTGAGGCCAGAGGCTGAAATTGCAGCTGCACACTGTCGATTGGAGAACACAGCGTGCTGCAAGTCTGTTTGCATTTTCATTGGAATTTGTCCAAAAGTCTGTAAAGTTGTAATTTAATGGATGCTTGATGAAAGGATTTTACGGGCAGCTCTGCTCACATGACATACTGGTCTCACCGCAACACATATCCAGTGTTCAGTCATGTCGGTGTATGTGAACTATCAGTGATCTGCTTGTTTTGCTGCATAGCCGCTTCCACATCGCTCACTTGAATGCGGTGCTGCTTCTTGCTGCTGCTTTCAGCATGTCACTCACGCCAGCATCCACCTGAAGGATCTGATTGATTCTAGTTCCCTTTACAAGGATCTTACTGTCTTTGCTCTACATTCCTTGTGAGGTGAGAATATTCCAAGTGACAAACCCTGTAGACCTGTGCAAGGCTGGAGAAGTGATAGTATAAATTTTTAACAAAAAAAAAAAGCCCCAAATTCTCAAGTTCTGGCTTGTTAAACTTAAATATAAGCTGCTTTAAACATTCAGCATCTTTAGAACAGGATTTTTTAGTTTTAACTGTATGAATCAGGGCTGAAAATATTTTCAGTCCCCTAATACAAATATCCAAGAAGGTCAGGACTAAAACGTAGGCTGTATAATGTAAATTTAAAAAGAAACGTGACTTGCAGTTCACTCAAACGGTTTCGACTGAATGTACAAAGACATGAGGAAACAAAACCTTACTGTAGTTTTGGTGGGATTAATTGGACATAATGAGACAAGGGGAAGCGAAACTAGAAACACTGACAAGAGAAACGGACCTTCAAAATAAAACAGGAAACACAGACAAAACTCTAAACACGCAAACTTAACACAGACTGGGGAGACAGAACATATGAACTTGAAATGTGGAACAGGAGAGCACAGAGGACACAAAATACTAGGGATAATCGCAAACAACTCAAAATAAACAAAACCACAGAATATTAATAAATTTAAACATAAACACGGAGTCAGACTCCGGGCCATGACAGATAGACAAAAACTCTCACAGTCACTGGAACATCTCTTGGACAGCTAAACAGAAATACACCTCACATCCAGAGTTTGAAAAACCAGAGTTTCAGGGACATGGAGGCAGAAGGTGGATATTCAAGAGAAGCAAACAAAACTAAACGGGAGAAGCACAAACCCATCAAGAGGCACTTAAATACACTATACTAACACTGTACAAAAGCAAGGATGTCAAACTCATTTTACTTCATGGGCCGCATACTTTGGCCATAAGTGGGCTGGATAAGTGAAACTCCCCTTTCTGTTAGTGAAAAGAAGTCTAACTACACATTTAATAGCTGTGATTTAGACTCTTAGAGCTTAAAGTGTAAGAAATAAATGTGTAAAATGAAGATATGAATGCCCTGTAATTGTAAATTGGAAAATGTATAGTATTTCTTCTTCTTTTTTTCCATTTTTTTACTTGAACCCACAGAGTAAAAAAACCAGGAATGTCATTTATTGTTTATCTATTACTTTTTTACAGTCTTTATTGTGATGTAAAACTTATGAGTAAATTGTTAAAAGTCTGTACATTTTCCAAACTTGCTCAGTGGGTCAGATTGGAGTCTTTGGTGGGACGCCCCTGACATAAAGGGACAACATGGAAAATCATGGCATAGCATACTGATGCTAATTAAAAGAGCTGTTTCTTGCTATATGTGTATGGCCTTCATTGGCCTCGGGTTGTATATGTGACAGATATGACCTTTTTAGAGCAAGACCCCCAGAAAAAAACCCCAGCGATAGGATGCTGGTTCTGCTGACCCCACCATCACTGTGACAAAGACGGATGAACACATCACTCCAATACCAGAGACAGACAGCAGGTTCCCCTCTCCCACACAAATCAAACTAAAAATACATTCTGGTGACAGAAGACTTTCTGGAATGTATGGGATAGTGAGGAAAACATTTTTGGAGGTCTAAATTTGACCCACTGCTTTGCTTTAGGCTGCTCTGCCTTTGATGCCTCTCATGTCCCTCTGGTATGTGAGTAGATAAGCATACTCAGCTGTTGATGATAACAATTATATCTCACAGCTACTTGTTTCTCAGAAAACTTTGTGCTGCTCAGAGCTGAAGGTCTCATGTTCCATCGATGTAAACGCTCGTGGCACAAAGTTTTGGCAGTGGCACCACCATAGTGGCTGGTAGAAGCAGATTTACCTCCAGTGGGTTAATCCTCAATTAAATATCCTCCTTTGTGTGTGTCCCAGAACGTCACAACAATGTGTGTGTTATTTGCAAGCAATAATTGGTGCTGGCTGACGGCTTGTTTTCACTTGCAAGATGGCAAAATGAAACTTCTGATTAGTATTCTTCTTCCTTTTCACCCGACCCCAGATGAATTCTTTGTGCTCCGTTCATTATGTAATTCTCGACCAGGCAACCCGCTGGGTTTATTTTTAGCTGCATCCGTGCAGTTGGAGAGTATAAAGGTTTGGGTGATTTGATGCTCAATAGCAATTTTTTTAATTCAGCGCACTTCAGTTTCTTAAGCCTTAAATCCCTTCAGTGTGTCTGTCTCTCTGCTTGTGTGCCCCCAGATATCCCTTTAACCCCAGCCTGCTCTTTTTGTAGTTTCCATTAGCTTCCAATGTACTTGACCTTATGCAGTGTGGCCATATTGTTTTCTAGTTTTGAAGCTTATTTCAGACGTCTGAGACAGACAAGTGTGAGTTGGATGGTGGTTGGCAGAGATCTTTGGATGGTTAGATCTCATTAAGTAGCCGTGATACGACTTATCATGACTGAATATTAAATACAGTTTTCTCTGCCAGGGACTGCACAAGGACTTATTAGTGTCACTGATAGTTCTGGCCTTATGTTACTTTACATTTAAATCCAATGAGTTCCACACAGTGAGCTGGACAGACTTTAAATCAGGCAGAAAGAGTTTATAAGTGGAAAAAGTGGAATCTCAGTCAGTACTTGCACAGCCACAGACGATGTGAGTCACTGAGTTTGGAAATGAGGAAAGAAAGATTTATCCACTTTTGCCTTTTTTTTATTCACACGTTGCCATTCTGTTGTTGTAAAAATTGTGAAGCTGCAGCACTTCTATGACTAATGGAGTCGGCTGATATAATGCTACACAATAACAATTATTTGTGGATAAATGGTCAGAAAGTGAATTATTTACAGAGTAAGAGTACTCAGACACGACCCCTATTTAGAGACACTGGACGTGCTGTGTGAAATTTACCTCAAAATGCAATTATTTGTAAATGTTTCAGTGTAAACATTCTAAATGTTTTCTGTGCCCTATTGTGAATAAAATATGGACTCATGAGATTTGCAAATCATTAATTAATCATTTCATTGTTTACATTTTGCAAAGCATCCAACGTTTTTGGAGTTCATAACTGACACAGAGCATCATTTTCTGTCTGTCTCCAGTCTGAAGGCAGTGCTGTCAGCCCCTCCATCCAGCGGGGCATTGGATCTTTCCGGCATCCCTCTGACAGCTCGGGACATGGAGCGTCTGTGTGCGCACCTGCAGCGCTACGCGTCTACTCTGATCAGCCTGGAGCTGGGCTTCACTGAGCTCACAGACGAGGCTTTCCTCCTGCTGCTCCCCACACTGGCCTCTCTCCCACACCTGGAGACTCTGGCACTGAACGGAAACAGGCTGACCAGAGCGATTCTGAAGGAGCTGACAGATGCCCTGAAGGTCAGAAAGTCAGATATCAATGTTTTCATACAGTGCTTTTACTATTTTATATACTCAGATCCCTCAGATGTTAGGAGTGTCTGAAGCTGCTTACTATATACTTCTATTTGACAAAGGAAACTCCAGAAAAGTGGAAACTGTTGCTTAAACCAAAATAAATTTAGTTTTGAGCCTTTGATAGCGCTACAATATAAAATTCAAGTCACTAATAATCCTTTTTGCAAAGTATTTTTCACTAGTGTTCAGTGCTGAAATCAGTCTTCCAGTAGTTCCTGAATGATTCCAGGTTTCCACCTTAACAACTAAGGCTTTTTATCACTTAGCTAGAGCAGCTTGGTTTTTCTTTCTTCAAAACATGGGTAAATAATATCTGAGAGAAAGTGACAAATCAAAAAATATTTTCTGTGATCTAATCTGATGTTAGTTTTTATTTGTTTCTTTCTTTGAAATTTATACTAACAGACTGACCAATTTGAGGATTTTAGCTTGATTTGTTGCATTTATATTGAAAATACCTATTGAACATAGTGCTTATACTGCAACATGGGAATATTGTTTTCCTCAGGATCCGGGCAGTTTTCCAAGCGTGACATGGATTGACCTGGGCAACAATGTGGATATTTTCTCCCTGCCGCAGCCCTTCCTGGTCAGCCTGAGGAAGCGCTGTCCCAAGCAAGGCAACCTGCCCACCATCCAGGAGTTTGGAGAGAGCCAGGCCAGCGACCCCCCTGAAAGGCTACGGGGTCTTGGGGAAGAGGAGGAAACAGACGACACCAACCGGACTGAGAGCATGGGCGAGCTCCGTTCGGAAGTAGAGGAAGAGCTGGATGGAGAGATGGAGATAGAGGAGATGATGGAAGAGCTGCTGGACTTTGACAGGGAGGTACAAGGGAAGGAGGATGAGGAGGAGAGCATGTGGACAGTAGGGGAGCACAGGAAAGGAGGGGCGAGGAGGAGAAAGAGGGGAGGGGATGAGGAGGAGGAGGAGAAGAAGGAGAGGGTGGTGCAGAGGAGAGAGGAGCGCCCAAGGAGGAGGACAAGGGCAGTGATGGCAGAGTACGAGGATGACACACAGAGCTGTTCGAGCCAGTCGCAACACTCATCTGGGGCAGTGGAGCCAATGAGAGTCGAGGAAGACGAGTTTACCGACCAATCAGAACACTTTACCTGATCGGTCCCCACTACTCGGTTTATGTTTTACTTCCTGTGTCTACTTCTACATGGAAGGGGGCGAGAGAATTCTGTGGCTAAAAATGCTGCAGTGCTGCATAAATGTGCCACTCGATGTCCCTCCCCTGATCTGATTTGTGACCAATCACAGCTTCAGACGATGACGAAGTGGCTGCTGAACTGAAACTCAAGCCAATCCCCAGCAGGAAGTGTGTTTTACCTTAGCTGTCTGTTGTTTAAAGTACTAATAGACCACAGATGCTATTGCATAGTATAGACTGATAAATTATATCGGACGAGGCTTTCATGTATAGAATGTTAATCTATATTCAGGTCCTTCCTCCTTGTAATCCCAGTAATACCTACATGTGCCTGTAACACGTCCCATTCCTGGTTAAAAGAAAAAGTAATCAGGGCCTTTATAAGGAAATGTTTTTGCCAAAAACTACAAGTGGAACTGTGTAAAAGGCCCACGTGGGTCAAAGGCCAGCCTGATGGATCGGAAGATCTCCTTTGTAGAATCCAGTTGCTGCTTAAGAAATGTGATGTGAAATTTGATGAAGGTGAAATTAGTAAGCTAAAAAACCACCCTGATAATAGCTAGAGCAATGAGTGACTCTGGAAGAAGAAGCTCCTGTTTCCAAGGCTATGCAAGGGAGAATGGGTAACGATGAGCCAGCTTTTACTTGAGTCAACCTTTAACTAAGAGGAGTAATAACTTCAGGAAATTATATCTCGCCTGAAAACTTATCAGACGTAGCTAACTCAACTAAACAACAAGATATTTCATCTCAAAATGTGGGAAGTTGAGCTTAAAACAGATGATGATCCATCTGAGAAAATAGTAACAAACCATTCTTCTAACCCTACGTGTAATTATTTAGAATTAGATCTCAACTCCCGGTTATTAAATAGACATTACAGCTTTTTTTGTCTATAGTGCTAAAAGATGAAGATACTCCGCTGTCCCTCTTAAGGAAAAGCTTAAATTGGATGAAAGCTTTGTTGCTTTGAGGGTATTTTCATTGTTTTTCATTTTCACTGTCATGACAAAAAGTTTTGGAGGTGGCACAACAAATTTATTAAGTTTTTGAAACATATTAAATCTTTATAATGGTTCTTCACTGTATCAAAGAAACATGAAAAATAAACTAAATAAAAAATGAAGCAAATGAAAACAAACCCAGATCTGTTGGCCTCAACTGTACAATATCAACTTTTGCATTAAAAGTTAACAACATTTAACATAAAACACCAATATAGTCAAAAATATAGTAAAAAAACAAACAAACAACAACTCTGTTTAAGATAAAATATTCCTGTGCCCCATACAGATAGTTATAAAATCACTGGTTTAATTAACACATATCTACACCAATCAAACTCTAAACACAGCATAACCGATATAATGATCAAAACTCTACTAAACTGAGGATTTGATCCATTACCTGCATCTTTATGATTGTTATTTCAGAAGTAATAGCTAAATGCATAACTCTTGGTATGCAGGATGAAGTAGAGTAAACTTAATCTAATGTAAGAAAACCTCAAAACTATAATAAATTAGGTTAAATTAACTACTGGCTCATCTTATCCCTTTGTCCCCTGCAGTGGATAGAAGTGTTAACCTCATTGCCATGCGTCCCAAAGCCAAGTGCTGAAATATTTAGTAGCCTTTTTCCTCATAATCCAGGTCATGCTTCACACTGCGGCGCTGTACACTAGAGTGCATCACACGCTTACAGTGCTGTGTTTGTATATAGGTCGCTGCTATGCTGTACGCTGGGTTACAACACAATATCCTTATACAGTATGTAGCTCTCACCTGGCTTGTGCATTCTCTCCATGTGTCACTTATAATCCCTGCAAAGCTTTAATAAACTGTATTTTTAGATGTACAGTACATATATATATGTACTGTACTGTACATATATATATATATATATAAACTAATCATTTTTATCTGACAGATTTTTTAGATTGTAGATTAGCTACTTCACAAGTACTATCACTGAATTCAAGAATTTGTATATTTTAAGGGGTTTGCAGTAGCAGTATTCATGTTTGTGAATAACTCTTGAAGGAAGAGCTGACCCAGTTTAATGACTGTCTGATCACTGAAGACAGAGTCTGTCCAGGTAAGGAATATTACACTGGAGCAAAGTAAATGTCACCTTAAAACAGTCAAAATTGCAAACTTTTTTTTTCTCTCAGACCGTGGCCCTAGGTGCTAATACGCTCACCTTTGGAGCTGTTTATGTGTGTATCATAGCAAATGAAGGCTTTTTGTGATGTACTGCTTTGCAACATCATCATAAATTAGCATAAACACAGCTGGATGCATTACAGAGCTATCTTGAATCACTAGCTAACAGCAGGGGTCTGCATAATAACAGAAACCCTGCCAAAGATATAGAACTGGCTGCGCTAGTCACAAAAAAAAACTCTATTGTAATTCTTTTTTTTAATTATTATTTGTAGAGTTGTTCAATTGAAAGGCTTTGAGAAGTGAGAGAGGCTAACACTGATGTTGTTATGAGACTGTGCTGAAGCTCTGATGAACAGAAAGCATGTGGACAGTAAAGCATGAAAGGAAAGGGCCTGATCCCAGTTTCCAAACTAATAACCTTTGAAGCCTGTCCCTCTAAGGGCGTGAGGCCTTAATGTAGACCTAATTGTTTTTCCCTAGTGTCCCTATTGCCTACATACAAGTTTTAAAGATGAGGTCAGAGTATGCAGACCCTTTCCAAAAACTTAGAATATCATGGAAAAGTTTATTTATTTCCATAATTCCATTCAAAACGTTAAGCTTTCAGGATTATAGATTCAGATCCCGCAACTTAAACCATTTCAAGTACTTAGTTGTTTATTTGTACGTTTGTAAATTTGGGCTGATGTCTTCATAGTATTCTAATTTTTTGAAATCATGTTTTCATGGATTTCATGAGCTGGAAGCCCAAATTATGTACAAATAAACAACTAAGTACTTGAAATTGTTTAAGTTGTGGGCCCTGAATCTATAATCTATGAAAGTTTAACGTTTTGAATGGAATTATGGAAATAAATAAACTTTTCCATGATATTCTAAGTTTTTGGAAAGGGATTTACTCATATTTACAGATATTTACAGCTCACGTTTCACACTGCTTTAAACACTCAGTTTTAGATCAATTTTTCTACTCTTGGTTCTGTATGTGTATTAGAGTGGATACCCCTTGTATGGTCATCTCAGGCACAGTTCTGATGTGAGCACAAAGGTCCCACCTTGTTGTTTAGATCTTCTATTGTTATCTCAGAAAAATGAACTGAGTAGCTACACCAAGACCCAGGATGTTATGGCTTAGTCACACTGGTCATTTAGTGATTGTATGAAATCTTTTTGCATTCGGTGACCAGCTGCAAGTTACTTTGATCATCAGCTGGTCTCCCAGAGACTAAGCACACAACATCCTCAACATCTGGGTAAATGCTTTCGATCATAGGGCGACTGCACAGGTTGCCTGATGGGAGGCAACCTGTCTCCAAGTAATCAAAGTCCAATTCAGACTGGTTGCAAATAGACATCTATTTTTTAAATACAGGAAGAGAACACATTACAAGATTACGATCTGAGTCACTCTGGACCAATGAGTGAAACTCATGTGTAATGCATTTTGTTGCAATAAGGGACTTGACTCAGCTGGTTGCCAACTAGTAACCAGATATTACTGTGGTTGAACTGCTGTCCTGCAGCAACTGCATCTCGATCTGTTTCTGAATTTCTGGTTCAAACCTGTGAGGTACTGGCTGAACTCTGAAGCTAATGTGAATTTCTGTTTAAGGTGAAGGTCTGTGTATGTAAACAGCAACAGAATTGACATTTTCACTAATCTATCACCGTTGTTTGCTGTATTATCACAAACAGATTGCATGTAATTGCCAACTTGACCCCATTCAGTCTCAATCTGATAACAGACTGACTCCATTTTATTGCTGTTTTATCGCAGCGCTAAAATAGCTGCAGGTTCAGGTGATTCTAACGTAAGAGTAAATGATACTTTTTCTCATCCAAAATGTTTTAGCAGATTAATTAATACTGATACAGATGAAAAAAAAAAAGCAGTGCCAAATTTCGCCAAATGGATAGCATTTAGAGAATACCCCACTGACACCTGAAACTGTGTCCAACTCAATATGAAGGCTTGATATGACCTGTGCAGCTTCCTTCTGGAAAAAAACAGAATCAAATCAGAACTGAATCAACAGCAGTTTCAACAATAAAAGATTTAGGTGTCTTATTAGAGACAAAAAAGAGGCTAATGTAGTCTTTAGAAGCTCATTCCCTCTGATTCTGCACCCCTAGTATTTCTTATTTTTAAATCTTTAGCCTTCAGACCTAACAGGTGGCGACTCGAGGGGCATCACCTGAGGACACATATGCAAACCTTAGCGGTTGAAAATAGAAGCCAAAAACCGCATTTACCACATTTCCTGGAGTGACCACTGGTTCTAAACATAAATAAATCCCACTGCCCCCCATGTTAAACTTTACCTCAGAATTAACCATGTTTATAGCCTGGTATGGAAACATTTTGGTCTGTACAGATACTCATTTGGATCTGACTAAGGCTTAAAGTTGGTGGCTGCTAAATGTACTATAGTTGATAGCTTCCTGCTAATCATCACTTTACCTAATTCCACTTCCTGAATTGGACCTCTTTACCATGTTTGTGCTGTTAATGTCTTTTCTGGAAGTTATTGAGTTGCTGTGTGGCGCAAAGAGTGACATCCAAGACACGAATGCAGTTTGCCTATTAT